TGGCTGGGGTTGCTTGGAACCCTAGTTAAATGCCCAAGTTATTTACCTGAACTGATTTTTTTGTCATAAGCTGCAAGAGAAATTCATAAGGTAATTTAAAACTTACTGTGTGAAATGCAATTATACCTTATGACAGCAGCAAAGGTGCCCTTGAGACCTTTTTTCTCTTTGCCCCTCTGCTTTAGAAAGTCATAACACTACATGTTGGCAGAGAAATAAAGTCAAAATATTTCTGAGCTGTACTATAGTAGAGTATTCTGCAGTAAGAGATCATTTTGACTTGACCTATTTTCAACTGAAGAGCTTGGGTGTGCCATTCTATTTCAACTATTAATTACTCAAAGACAGCTTAGCTACCAGTGAAAGAAGGAAAAAAAAGGCAGATCACGAGTATTGAAATCTAAGTGAATTTTAATAAAAAATTATAACAAGATAATAAATTCTATGGTAACTCCACAAACCTCTCAAAGGTTTGAACTAAGCAAACAAGGACTCTTTTCAGGACTTAACAGATGTGTCCCAGTTGTGTATAAAATGAAATTTGGCACAATTGTGCCTGAATTGGATACTGTCGTTCTGGATCTGTAGATCTGTGTTCTCACACAGCTGAAATATCTTATCTTTCCAAACATGAAAATGAGCAAGTTAGCAGTGTATTATAAAATACACTGTTAACTTACACACATATTCCTCCAGCTTTAAAAGTTAGCCATTACCTTTTGTTGGAAATACTGAAAACTGCAAAATACGCCATGAAAAATGACTGAAAATATAGCTGTTATAACAGCCAGTGGAGGAATGTTAAGGTTATTTAATTTTTTTTATCATGATCATGTGTATCTCCCTTTCCCAAAGCTCATCTGCATTTCTCCCTGTTCAGTGCAAAAGGTAAGATGAAGAAGGATTGAAAAGGGGTGCTAGAAAACTGCATATATAGAGAACAAATAGACTATTATTATTATGGACAGAAAAACTCTTTATTATTCATCTGTTGGGTAGTTGGGAAGTTCCACGAAGGCCCTGGAAGAGGAGGCTGGCCTGAGCAACAAGGCAGTCATTAGGTAAGAGGAGGTGGCATAGCTTCCTGGGGACTGTCAGAGCCACAGCAGAGGCACCTGGGAGGTGTCTGATGTGTCATGTTGAGCTCGGTCTCATTGAGGAACACTCCCTAAGTACATCATTATCATTATTTTTCAAATCTCTTCAGAAAAAAAAAAAATCTTAGTTTTACCATTATTTCTCCTTAATTTCTCCTTTACCCCTCATGCTCTGTTACATGATAAATTTGGAAAGGTCACAGTAGTAATGACTTTCAAGTAAGTGTGTATATTTTTTTGAGCATCACTTCTCAAGATCCTTGGGGAAAATGAAAGGGTCACCTATTTTTTAAAATTGCAATGATTTTAATACAAGAAGACAGACACTAGAAATCAAATTACTAATCAGGGACTTATATTCACATTTAATACATCCCTTTCCTCACACTGTCCCTCCTTATTTTGCTCAGAGGCACTTTCTGACACCAGAAATAGCACATTACTGATCCCATGGTGTGAGTGGACCTTTTATCCAATTGTAATATGCAACAGAGTATTAGATGTGCTAGCCTGAGTTTCAGCAGCCCAGGGAGACTTAGGTGCAATATCTGAGCAACAAAAAACGTGAAAGAAATTAGTGTAAAGCACACGAGCTGCAGCGAAACAAAGATATTTTGCTTCAGCAAAGATTGTGACTTGTAATCTCATCTATGGTTTTCAAACAATTGGTTCTCTAGATCTATAAGTGATACAGGTTTAAACTTAAATTTGGCTGTCAGTAGCAATGCAGCAAATTCCTATTTTCTCTGAGTGCCATCTTCAAATTTTGTGAAATGACTGGAGATTCACTCAATCTCATTGTGATCTCATCTGTAACCACACCTTCTTGAACACTTGTTATTAGTATATTGACTTCTATGTCAATAAAAAATTAATTTCTGGTACGTAAAAACAAAGTTAACCTCTGAAGCTGCCACACCATTAGGCTATCCAGCTAATAATCCCTGTTTCTTAGTGCAGTATGACCACATGCACAGTTATACCAGCCAGAAAGCACTTCCATGTTGGGTTTCCCATGCTGTTCTGTGGAACACACAACAGCAGGATTCTCCCAGTGACCACCTCCTCAGCAGCAAACCCGTGGCTACAGAGAAACTCCACATCTCCCGAGTGAATGCTTAATATTTGCTTGCATGTAACATGTGAAAGAGCAGGGTTCTGTCAGCACCATCATGGTGAAAGGAAGGTAGTCAGAGCTGTCATTAAAAATCTGTTTGGGGTGGCTGCATGGGTGGAAGTTTGAACAATGGGAGCTTGACAGGGATGTGTGATGGGAATAAAATACACTGAGAGATGTAGGAGAAGATGAAACAAAATCTGCACAACTACATTAATAATATAATTATAAAGGACTGAAAGTGCAGGCTGACCTTGCCCAGCTGCTTAGCTGTGTGCTGCCTTTTTGGGATCTGACCCTTGGGGAAGCTGCCCCAGGCACAAACATATTGCCAAGGGCCAAAAGAGCCTTCCATAAAGAGAGAACGGGAAAAAGGGATCTCCACTACTTGTCTCTTCCAGCTTCACCCCAACATCATTTGGTCTCAGGCAGTTTAGTACTTTAGTTATGTCAGTGAATCTTGATGTCTGCCTGGCATGTTATAAGCCTAGTAACACTCCAGTTTAAACAATGCAGCACAGGAAGAAGGACAGCAGCATTCCTCATGCCATCCCATCTGAGGAAGTTCCTGCAGCTGGAAAGAAACTCACTATTTTCCTCAGTGATTTACCACCTCAGGTCAGTGCAGTAGGCAATGCCAAAGACAAAACTATTTTTCTAGATTTCCAGGATCATGAAAGTGACTCAGGGACTGCTTGAGAGTTAATTTAAAGATGTGCTCTGTAGGATGAGTTTTAAAGCTGACTCAGAGCCTGATGGTTCCACAATACTCTGCAGAGATTTATGACAGCTGGATTTATGGCAGCTGGAAGCTTACACTACAACTGCAGTGAACCAACACCATTTTCCAATCTTTGGGGCATTTCCCAGAGCAAAAAGACTTATACATAGAGAGTTTAAAATTATGCCATATGTTCTGTGTATTTTTAAAGGGGCAGGAGTAAATACTGTACTGTGGTACCTCACATCTGCAAACAGAGAACTGTGAAAAATGCAGACCAGATAATTTCTGCAGACCAGATAATTTCTCTGTTGGGAGGCACCAGCCTTCCGTGACAATTCTCAGCTAAGCATGAAGACCAGGAAAGATGAGTGCCAGGAAGATGAACAACTTCTTTTTCTGAGGTGTTAAATTTACAAGTGTGAGAACAACTACAGAGGTGCCAAGAACACCAGTGATGCATTGTATGGGGGTGTTACTATTGTTCCTGTTCTGAAAGAAGGAACAGACAAAAGGATGGGTTTCACCTTCTTGAGCAAAGCACATTTCTCAGTGTCAGTTAAAAACAATTATTTTCACTGCTAATACACAGTGGCACAGCAGAGGAGAGCTGCAGGTTAATGCTGCACATTAGCTGTCAGTTTGGTTTGATTAGTAAAAAGTATCTAACCCAAATCTGACCAAGCGCCTCCCCTTCAGGGGGGCTCATCACATCTCCATGTGTTAAGACAATGCCAAAATGTATCTGTTGTCAATATTATATAACCTGCTCCAGTGATCATAGCACAATCAGATTATCTCTCAGTCAAGGACCTCAGTCAAAGTGCTCAGAGAATAAAGAAGCAAGACAGATGCTGCTGTTGAGAAGCTTTCATAAGAATTGTAAAAGGAAAGGGGGAAAAGTTACTGGTTTTCTTCAGCATTAACACTTATCAAATGGAATGTTCTATTTACTTCAGTGTCAGCTCAAACTAGACATTGGAAATGAAGCCCTGGTCCTGGGGAAGGAAACAGAACTTTTTCCTTCTGATTTCAAGGAGGTTTCACAGCTTACTTGAGATTTTCCCCTCAAATTTCAAGAGTAGATTCTTTCATTGTTTAAGAAATTTAGGTTAGATGAAGCCAGCCAAGAATGATCTCAGGCTGTGGCAAAACTTGAACATATTTGGCTGTTACATTTAACTCTTCCCTTGTCTCAACTCCAGGATAATATATTGGTGCTGTTGATAAATACTAACGGTGGGCTCCAGCATACACTGAGCAAGAAAAGATGAAGGGTGTTTCTTTGCTTTGTAATGGACACAATGAGGAAAGAAAACTGAGAACAACCTCCAAGACGTAATCTAATAAAAACAAGTTTTCATAAACTATGCATATTTTTTCAGATTTCCTACTGCAAAACAATTTAGAACGTCCAGATCTATCATTATCCAACTTTAGAGTCAGACTTGTCAACACAGAAACATTAGGAGGCTCACTTTTGAGTACTGACAATGGCATTTACAGGAATGAGAGACCTGAACTGGATGTAGGCATTTTAGAATATGCCTTGGTGCTCATGAGACAAAATTCATTATGTATTTTGGCATGTAGCTGAACTGTGAATTTAACAGTAAGGATGTAGATGTCCACAAAAACAGTAACTGCAATGATATTTAGTTTCAAGGAGATCTATCATGAAAATGGTATTTGCAAATGGTCTCCTTTATTTTGCTTTCAAGATCATGAAATCCCTTTGCCTCCTTGTCCATTTTTCCCCCTACTCTTTAACCTCACCAAATGTTTGAGTATTCCTCTTGTAAATGCTTTTGGCAACTAACTCTAAAGGATGCAAACTAATACCCAGTGTGCCCTCAGAAGAACACAAGCAATTTCAGAAAGCAAACATTTTAACATTTTTCTGTTCTTCCTATCTAGCAATATGCCGTTGTTTGCAAACAGTAGTATTGTTTGCACAAGCTTTCAAGGTCCTTAAAGATACATCTATAAGACAGGTAGTCACAATGGTCAAGAATATCTGACAGACCCTGAAGAAAATACACTTTAAAAATAATGTATGTCTTACCTGCTTATTCATAAGTATGTAGATAATGGGATTGCAAACAGTGCTGCTTTTTGCTAGGATGGAAGGAATGACGCTTGTAATGGGGGTCACAGCACCCGGCTTGCCAAATGTTGCAAGTAATGCTATAACCCCATATGGAATCCAGCACACCAGGTAACAGATAACTGTAGTGATCACCATGAACAGGACGTGGTATTCTCTTTTGCGGGCAGCATTCTTGTGGATTTTCCCAACCTAAGGAGAGGTTTAAAAAGAGATAAAATTTAACAAGCAGAGCTGTTGGATTGACTGCATGAGCAACTTGGGACTATTGGTCTTGGATCAGCAATAACAATCAACACTGTAGTTCCAGAAGCAAAACAAATGCGAACCCAAAAGTGATTGAATGCAGTGAAAAGACTTTAATAATCTCCATCAGGCACTAGGGGAAGCTTTGCAGAGACCACACTGCATGCCAGCATAAACCAGAGTCCCAGTGGAGGTTGGAGCAAATATAGAAAGGTGTCAAAGCATCTAGTCCTAAACAAATGTTAAGTCATCTGCAGTTGCTTTTAAGGTATGGAATTTTGTGTAAATGTACCATGTTTTCATTCAAATTATGTCGATACACAGAACTTGCTTGAGATTAAGAAGCTTTACATAGCACATCTGAACCACCAGAAGTATTTCTTGTAAAGGGTGTGGAAGTAGCAGAGCAACACTGGGACTGTGCTTGGTATCTCTGTCCTTGGATATTTTCAACCCTAGATAAAGCCTCAGCCGGCCTAGCATAGTGTTAGCCATGGTCATACTTGGAGTGGGAGACCAGAGAAGCCTTGCTGAATCACTTGATCAAGTTTTAAGTGGTAGGATTCATTCCTTCTAGACTTTTCTTTCAGGTACTTAACCATTTTGATAAAAGGGCTTCACTCCTGATAATGATCAGATACAGGTTTTTGTGCTCTTTAAAAAAGTGTGCTGAGTGCTTATTCATTGTAGTATTGTAGTTCATTGGTTTTTTCGGGGAAATGGAATAGAATTGGCTAAACAGGAAAAGCAGATGTAAATGGGCAGTTTCAAAGTGATGGTACAAGAATCTATCTTGTAACCATGAATTTGCGAGTAGTTACAGTGTGTGGGCAAATCTGCTGTGGAGGTATTTATGATCTGTGCTTCAAAATTTATTCTCCTTTAACGTATTCTGGATTGAAGCATCATGCCTTTGGGAGTCTAGAGCTCTAAGATAAAGCTTTAACATTAAAATAACAGCCAACTTTTATTTTTAAGCCTTGGTGTGAATACATTTTTCTGTAGACAGCTACAGAATGCTCTTCCATTGTTTGGGCAGCTGAGTGCATTGGTGGCAACAGTGAGGAATGCTCATTCCCTAAAAATCAAAAGCAAACTCTGCAAGGAGGTTAATTTTGGAGACTCTCCACTGACTCTAGATGAAACTCAGCACACTGGTCTCCTGAGGTTATAGTTGATTCTTCAGCTTTACCCCAGTGTGTGTTTAGCAAACCCAGATGTGCCAGCAGGACTTCAGGAACTATTCAAATGTTTAAACGATATTGATTGATCCTTGTACTCAGCCAAATCTAATTTATGTCCATTTGAAGGTCTTTTTGCCTCTTGAATGCAGCACTTGAGAGTAAATTGCACCCAGGGGAATTAAGCACATGTAAAACTACAAACACAAATAAGCAAAAAAGCTGCTCTGTGTAATGGAACACATCCAAACTTCACTTAATTTAATAATAAAGAAAAAGTTTTAAATCAATAGGTTTAAACTGATTCAGGTAAATGAATAGAGGACAGTTAAAGGTGGAAGTCACCAACCATCCCAGTCAAATGTCACTTGCTGTTGCCTGACACATATCTTGTGCATGCCAAGAAAACAGAGCTTTTACTACCCCTATGTATTATGGGTCTTTTTGCATAATGTATGTGTTTATGTATCAGATTGTGAGTTAAACACACATATAGTGCCTGTATAAGGCAAAGTAATATGGTTACAGTTTCTTTTTATTTCATTATGACTCCAGGCTTCTAGAGTGCTTGGTTCTATCTGGAGTTTCAGTGGAAATGTTCCTGTAAATGAAACACACACTAATTTTGCCTGCCCAAAACTAAGAAGTTTTTCCTGACTCTTTTTTAATGATTTTCCACAAAAAGGCAATAACAAAATAAAGTCTCTCCTTTCTGAGAAGACTTGGGACTACATTTTTTATAAGACTGCAACCTGTTTATTTTATAATTACTTTAGCTTGAAAAAAGGATTAATAATAGATAATGGTCCAATCCTGTATTGCTTATTTGAACTAAATTTTTAATGACTAATAGGAAATTTCTCTGACTGATGAATCAAGAATCCCATGTGAGCTGCAGCTATGCTACAAATTAAATATTAACCCAGGAATGCAAAGCCCCAGTTAGCCATGGCATCTACAGCTGAAGATCTTCAACAAACACAGAAGGATCAGGCAACACATTTTTGCTCTGTGTTTAGATATGTATCTTGAAGAGTTTTCAAGAGTTTGCCATCTGCACAGACAAAATAAAGACCATAAATGAAGGAAAGAAAGATGTCTAAAAGTAGAGTGGCTATGGATGTGATTTTGGCATATATCCTTCCACTTTCACATCTTTAGATCATTTATATAGGAAGGGAAATTTTGAAATCATGTACCATATTTGTCCTCACACTTTTGGTTTAATTGTCTTTGCAGTTTTGCAGCCTACCTTTAGAAGGCGTTACCTTTAAAATTTCTCTGTTTATAGGTACTGGAAAGCCTCCAGCAAAATATAACTCAGGTTCATGTAACCTACAGAAAGATTACACTTCTGCAGGTGAAAAAGCAGTAGACATTTTAACATTAAAATAATTCTATTTGTTATTTTAAAACTACTGGACAATTTACAATTACTACACTGTATTTTCAGTAGTCAAATGGAAATGCCTCCCTGGATATCCAGCTGGTAGAAGAGCATCAGATAGTGATGACAAAAAAAAAATTCAAATAATATTCTAGAATAGCTGAGCTTGTGAATCTCTGTCTAAGTACAAACATACAGGATATATATAATATGAATTTAAAATACTTAGAAGATCCAAATCACATTTTAAAGTGGTACAAGAAATACTGGCCAAAAATTGGGATCAGATTGTACTTATGTAGGATTTGCTGTAAATTCAGCTGTTTTCTCTGAAACAAAGATCATCTCCTGCCAAATTTAGCAATATAAAGGTTGGGAAACCACTATATTTAAAGAAAAGAAGATTGGGGGATTGGTTGTTGAGGGGTTTTTAGCAAGGAAATTGTGTTTCTCCCCTACTTTCATCCTGGGAAGTAGCAGAAATGTTTTGCTTTTCAGAACTCAGCTGGAGGCAGCAAGAGGCAAGCCTGTCTAATCTCAGGCACTGAGCGTAACAGTGGCACAATTAGCTCTGGTCTGGATTTGCCCTGCAGCCATGCTGCATCTCACATATACCCAACACTTTTTTCAAGTCAATCTGACACAAAAATACCACTACTTAGATCACTAGGGCAGCATGCTGTGACATACATTAGATGTGACAGGCCACAGAGTGTGGGAGAAGCCAGGGTGGCATTCAGTGAGGAGGCTGGCATGGTAGAAGTGTCCTCAGAAGGAGGACAAGTGACACATTGATTGGTTGACCTCAAAAGCTGCATCTGCAGCTGGCAAGATGTAGCAGATACATTACTCAGCAAGTGATGGGCTGCATTGCTATTCCATGTTCTGGAAGAGATGAAATTGGGGAGCTCTAAGCAGAGCATAGAAAATTTCAACAGCCCTGGTGAAAATCTGGAGAGGTGGTAAACCAAAGACAAGGTGACCTTATAATGTGGATATGGAGGAGTTTATTAAAAAGAGATGCCAAGAGCTTTTGCTGTAAATGTGGAGATTGTTAGGTTGGAGATTAAAGAAAAGGATTCAAAATATCTGTTGTGACAGGTAACTTGCCAGGAGAGAGAAAAGCCTTTAAACTGGATGCAGGCAAATGTGTGGGCCTTTCACCACAAGGACCCAGAGAAAAGGTATAACCTAGAGGAAGCTTGACTTCCTCTAAGGAGAACAAGTCTGTCTTTTCCTTAAAGAGAAAAGAGAATGGGTCTGTCCTTGGAGAAAACAAGTAAACCTTCCAAACACATAAACACTGTTTTACAGTGGTATGGGAGATAATAATAGGACTGTAGGTCATAGGAGATGATTTTAAGGTAACAGGTTCTGGTTACCCAATTTAGACATTGTGGCTGTCAGTTGAGACCTTATCACTGTCCAAGTCAACAGGTTCAGTCAGCCTGTTCCTTGAGGTAGCAGCCATTTGGCAACCACAACTGACTCCATGGGTTTTTGCCAGGCCAAACACTGCAGCTTTCACGCCCAGACAAAAGAAGACAGCAGCTACCTGCCTCTGGTCGGGGATTTTCTGCTTTAAATATTTTTTTTAGCCATCAAACAGCTTCATATGGAGAAGAGCCCTGAGCAGCTCCTTACCCAAGGGGACAGTCTGCCCCTTCCTGTGCTCCAGAGCCAAAAGTTTGACTTACTGCAGCCCCTTACTCAGCTCTCTCTGGGTTTATCTGGGTATGACTTACGGGACGAAGGGAATACTGGTGACACTTAGATCCACTGAGAAGAAGGTGCCAGGAAAGACCTGAATGCTTGTTCACAGAGATTGGAGGCAGCTGCAAAGCCAACAGTGCCAGAGGCACATATCCGGTCAGTCCATCATACTCCCATCACCCATAGGCAAGTTGGGGCTTTTTACATATGTAAGGCAAAGGAGCTGGGCCAAAGTTAGCTGCTAAGAAGGGGAAGCTTCAGTGATGAAGATCTAACCTGACTGTTTTGAATTCCCTTGTGTTTTCTTTGTCACATCTACCCTAGTCTCTCCTCCTTACTTAATGTAGCTACGTGCTTTTTCTCATAAAGCATTTCCTTCATATTCTAACTGCACCCATTTTCAGCTGTGAACATCTTGAAAGGTTATGAAGAATATATGGCACCCCATCCATCTAACCACTAGATTGAGAGAATACGCACCATTCAGAGCCACTTCAAGCAGGGGCCATGTACATCATAACATCTTAGAAACCAGGGATCCTGTTTGTATGTTTTGTTCTTCAAGTCACTTTCTCTTTCTCCAGCTATTTATTAAGACAGAAAATATTATCAGTTACTATACTCTGTGTACCTAAATAGTGGGTGCTGTAAACATCCTTTATGTA